CGAAGTTGATTACGATCGATGCTTTTCTAAGGTATCAAGTAAGCCTTGCAGACCAGCAGCTGACTCCTCATGCAGAGGCTTAAGTGTTCGGAGTGCTGTGACGTGATCCTGCACGAGCAGGCGGCGATGCTCGAACCACGAGACAAGAAGGCTCCACGCCATGGAATAATTGGAGCCAGCGAGCTGCAAGGTGTCCAGAACTGCTTTTGCCTCTCCCTGACGTTTGCTTTTAGGTAGTAGAGCTTCTCGACGTCGGTGAGCTGGGTATCTTGATGAACAAGCGCCTGGAACAGATCGCGAAACTATTTCCAGTCCTCGCGATGGCCAGAGAAGTGCGGGGACCCGAGGCAGGCTAGCGAGTCGCCACCTTCCGACAATCTCGACGAAATCCGATTCCTAGCGTCATACAGGTACGCTTTAGCATCGAGATAGTATCCTTGTGCGGATCTGTACAGGTCTCTCAAGGAGGCGACTTTGTCCACAGGCGCGCCCTGAAACAGATCCTTATGATTGGCTTTTGGAAGTCATCCCAATAGTTGACAAGCAGCTCCAACCGAGCATCGACGAGACCCATGCTCCATACTTCAACAGCCTTGGCGGATTTAGTGAAGTCTGCAAGAACCTCTAGCAGAGCTCGCTGCGTTTCCAGCAATGGAGGCCAGCCTTCGTCATCCAGTAAGTTAATCACGCGCTAAGCTCGACGCTTGTCTCTCAAGAGGCGCGTTGTTACTGGTGGTGTAATCGTGCGTGCCGAATGAGTCTGACGCGAAATATTGAGAGCGGCGTGAGAAACGACGAAATGGCGGTCTGACGTAAACTTAAATAAAGCCCGCAGTTATCTATGAAGCTGCCTGCAATCTGCACCTCAAAACTTCTCGACAGCCTCACTTTCGAAGTAATCGCGATCGCTAACGAGGTCCACGACGCGGACTGCACGACAGTCACGGTTGACGTCTGAGCATCTCTCGCTTATCACATCGCGTTAAGGCTCCCACAACCTCAAACCGCTCTGCCATGTGGCGCAGCTCTGCACGATTGCATCACTTGCAACAGAGGCCCCAATGTCTCGATACGTTCTCTAACGTAGAGAATGTCTCATCGCAAGCTCGAATCTCACATCGTTCTACTTACATTATTGCTTCAAATCACACCGTGGGCCTGGCTGTCCTGGACTCGATAAGGTTCTGGCGGTTGTCTGTCCTGGTCACGCAATCCGGCTCGAAAGACCAATGTTTTAATCACTCTTTATTTTGTTGGAGATACGACTCGGCAGATCTGCCGATACAGAGATTTTGGAAGTCGAGCGACCAGGAGTTCCGGTTCGGTGGTCTTCTTAGCCGCAGTTCTCTCTCTCCAGTCCAGGAAGAGAAGGGAGGGAGAGAGTGAGCGCGCAAGACAAATCTCACACAAGTAGTTACCTACAACAGGTTACCCGCCTATCGCACTACTTATATACTACCTCGATATTTTCTCTCAGTGCAGGAGAAAGTGTTAGGGATTCACGGAATATAGTTAGATTTTTACAATGAAAATGCCATCAAAAAATTATGATTAAAATCACGGGTCTACATTCAGAAAATAATTTATTTGAAATGTTAATTCTGATGATGTAAGAAATCCAACTTGGTCATACTTAGCTCACAGACGTCACAGTTTCAGGTATAAAGTTTCAAATTAGAGAAAACACCGTCTTTCATTTTCAGTTCTTTGTTAATAACTTTTTTATTTGCTTAATTAAAGGTCAGCGTACCAATTGACGGAACATGAAACTATACACCCTATCAAAAACTTCAATGCTGAATCAACATTGATTTTAGCGTTAAATCAACGCTGAACCAACGTTGATTCAACGTTGATTCCATGAATGACAGAATACTAAAATCAGTCGTAATTTACAATGTTGATTCAACACTGATTCAACGTTGAATCAGCGTTGATTCAGCGTCGATCAAAACGTAAAATTAAATTTAAAAAAATTACAAAGTAGTACAGTAACATTTGGGGCAGATATATTGACGTTAATGGAGGTACTGTCCGTATGGTAACACTAAAACAGGGGGGTTCAGTTATTTGATGTTAAACTGTATTGAATACGCATTATATTTTTTTATTATTAAATTAACGTTTAAATCAACACTAATTCAACGCTGATTCAACGATGAATCAGTGTTCATTCAAAGTTGAATCATTGTTGAATCAACAATGTAAATTACGATTGATTTCAGTGTTCCATCATTTATGGAATCAACGTTGATTCAACGTTGGTTCAGCGTTGATGTATCACTAAAATCAACGTTGATTCAGCATTGATTCAGCATTGAAATTTTTGATTGGGCATGCTATTTCACAACTAATATCACCAAAAAATTATTTTTAAGCAATTAATAGTTAATTTTAATATTTTTAAACTGAAAAGGCTCGATTGTTACATTCAATTCACAGTAAAATAAGCTTCTCTGTATAGTGGTTTTATAATAGGTACATAATCAAACATAACCTAACTTATTTAGTTGTCCGTATTATAAAACAAACTTTTAAAATGAAATTCAATTCCATTACAACTAACTAATTGGCATGAAATGCAATCGTATCAAAATAAAATCGTGTCATTTGAGCAACGTACTCCAAATAACTTGAAATTAGTACCCACAAATTACTTTATTAAGTGAGTTCCATAATTGGGACATGAATTATGAAACACTGGGACATGCCTTTTGGTGTTTTTTCATAGTAGGGACATATTAGATGTTCCAATTTTATTAGAAAAAAACAGTCTATTTTGCATAAAAATAATATTAAAAAATTGTAATAATTTACTCAAGTTGGAGCAATTTAAGAAAAAGCAAAATCACTAGCATTAAAGCACGTCCGCTTTTTTTTACCACAATACAGAAAAAAAGTGCGAAAATTTGTTTCATAATTGGTACTTTTACCTTACTAAAATTTAATTAATTAAATTTCGGATGTAAGATTGAAGATTTTGTTAATCCTTCTCGATTACAAAAACTTAAATATCAATTCCATGCTAGTGACACATTTTATACACGATCAACTTGGCCAACAATATAAAAATATACAATACTCACATCTGTAACACATTCGATTGCCATTTAATTTTGAGTATTACAGTTTTTTTCGCGTATTATAAATAATTCTCTTCAGTTTTTTTGTCTTTCTGGCTTGTTGAAACGATGAAAAAATTTTTCTAGCTTTTTTTGAATGTCTCCATACATGTGGACGCTGCTCTGATAATATACACGAATTTCGAAATTTATCAAATAACATGTGCCAAACAATATGTTTCATTAAATAAATTATTTATTTCTTTAATGTATAATCACCGGAGAATTAAGGGGGCTCCTACGACTACTGCTGAGGTCAAAGACAAACAAAAAATAAAGTTTTGTTTTTCAATAAACAAATGTGTCTGAAAATCATTATGATATTTTTAATAACGTATGAAGTGGGAAAAATGATATTTATGTGTGTACTTTAACTTTGTACGAAAAATTAATTATTGTTTTGACCAGTCTAGTGCATACGAGGGTACACCACCAGACCAGACCACCTGTGTTGGTGTAGTATAGCGATGTAATACATAGGTATATGGTATATGTATGTCGTGAACAAGTACGTCTGCTACCCACGTGACCTCCTAACCTCCCAGACACTATTTATTTATTTCCATCACAAATATCTCGCTAAAATGGTCCTTTATCCAAAATTTTGAATAAAGCATATTACAGAGGAAGACTTCATCTACAAAACGTATATATTCAGTCTGCTGGGACTTTTAATTTAGGTTTATTATAAACGAAAACAAATTGTTTTTCACGCTGCTTCATAGGAACACGTGCGAATAGTTACAACTTTGAGCTCGGATTTCTCTAAATTTTGACCCATTCGAAATATAATTTAGACCACCATTAAATTCAGTAGACTTTTATTTACAAGAAGTAATATATCTCTGTTTGGGGACTTTCGTGAAAAAGCCCCCTTAATACATAATAAGTAAAAATCTACATTAAAAATAAGTTGCGAACTGTAAAATAAAATAAAGTAATTGGTTATCCATTGTCCGGCCTGTTCATAGCAGAGTGGGTATAGGAGGTTTGCCCAGTATGTAAGAAGTGAGGGGTTCAAATCTATTCGGGATTTTTTTTTTTTTGTTATAAAAATTGGTCAAAAGAAAAAATAAGTAAAATTCAAAATGTGTGGAGTGGTGGGATGATGTTGTGTAGCGCGGTGTGGTGTACTGGGGACCGGAACTACGTCGAGGCGAAGAAAGAGATGAATCGAGCAAAATCCACTTCCGTTACACTTTTTCTTAAGGTCACCAATCTGAAATCGTTGATTTACTCCATAGGGCAGAACGCCCGCATAGAAGTATAACTTGAACAATAACGCATAACTTCGTCGAAGTATACAGTTAAGGGTGTTATTATACGTATTATGTTTCAAATTTGTAGCCGAATATTGCACTATTAAAAAAGACCTTTACTTTTTAATACTGTGGCACTTTGACAACTGTCGAACTAGCTATTTGTACTTTGTACTACCTTTACTATATTTTACCGTTACTCCTATTAAAGCACAGATAATTTCAACACAAACCAAACATTTGGATATCATTAAATAATTCTTCATACAAAATAAATCACGTTTTTATTTTTTACTATGTAAATACATGTTACATTTCTTTGTACTTTAGCCTTCTACAAACAAAAATGACGATGTAAACATTATTCTTAATTTAAAGCACAATTTTTTTATTCTAAGGCACACAATCGTGTAACATAACAAGGTATTATCTAGTCTCTTGATATTAAAAAATTTTAATCTTATACTTACAAAACACTTTAATGTAGAAAACTCTTTCATACGAAATTTTTTTTATTTTTTTGCAATCTACGTCAATTTTTAAACAAATTAAATTCAAAATTAATCTGCCTTATTACTTTAAAGCTTTTTTAAAAATTTTTACTTAATCAAATCTCGACTATTTAAACTGCGTGCAAAAAAATAGACCAGAAAATAAAGATGTCTGTAATTTTTTTAAATGTTTCATTATGTTGGAAATAATGTATCATTCCATGCGCGCCCGCTTATTTGCAAAAAAGTTATTAGGAAGGATGTTATTGACACTACTTGGTGAAATATTTTCACAGTCTGAAAGCCCCAGCAATTTATTAACTTTGGTTCGAAGTACTGAATCATTTAACCAAGGGTGCCTCAGAATAGTTGTTGTAGAGATTCTCTTAGATGGATCAACTGTCATCATTTTTTTTATCTGAAACAAATACGTCATAATCATGTAAAAATAATACACACTTTGACAAAAAAATATGTATTTTGTGTTTATTAGGTAGACGTAGTTTTTTATTTTTACTTTACCAAGTCTTTAGCACTAGATGAAACAGAAAAGAATTTGGAAGAATGAAAATTGTAGACTCCATTCTTAATTTGATCATACAACGAGAGATTATTGTCATGCATTCTAAATGGAGTGAGTCCACTTAAACAACAATACAAAATCACTCCTAAGCTCCAAACATCGACTTTACTGCTGTAACTCCCTTTACCACCTGTTATTAAAATTTCAGGTGCAACGTACATAGGAGTGCCACATAACGTTTTCATCATTGTTTGAGAATCTACAAATTTGGACAAACCAAAATCAGAAACTTTTACTTGAGTCTCATCTGCGTCATCTGACAATAAAATATTCTCTGGCTGAAAAATCATTTAGAAAACATGTGGTAAAGTGATTTTAAGCTTTAGGACATACATAGCAGAATATGAGTAAATTACCTTTAAATCTCTATGTGTAATACCGTTTTCATGAAGGTAGTTAACAGCTAACACAATTTGATAAAAAATAAATTTGGCATTTTCTTCTGATAATCCATTTTTTTTCTTAATTCTTTCAAAAAGTTCTCCACCTTCCATTAGTTCTAATATGATATATACCATGGAAGGACTATCAAAAAAATCTACGATCTTTATAATACATGGCTGAAAGTAATAGTGTTTTTTCAAGTGACTAGGATGTTACTAAAAAAACAATAGGAAAAAAGAAAACAAAGTTGCATGGATGACTGTGTCATGTTGTAAACTTACATGTTTCAATTTCTTACATATGTCCACTTCGTTCATAGTATGCTTTCCGTCAGTAAATGAATTTTTGTGACCAGTCGCGTCCATTTTGATTTTTGATATCAATTTCATTGCATATTTTTTGCCTGCATCCAACCCACTTTTAGAAAAACACAGCTTTACTTCTCCACAAGCTCCAGCACCTAGTGTCCTTGATACAGCATATTTGTCTTTCAGTTCTTCTGATAAAAAAGAATCATCATATCCACTGGTACTCATGTAAACATACACTAAAAAAATATTTAACACTTAGGAAATAGTGCTTACACAACAAGCTGATACATATTGTATGTGAATGTGTTATTACACATTACCTTTAAACGAAGTTCTGGATGTGGCTATTAAATCATTATTAACTAATACAACTGTTTTTCCTTTACCCACAAGTTTATTGTTAACAAAGGTACCATTGCGGCTTTCATCTTTGAGATAAATAATACCATCTTCAAGGCCAGTAGAGGTTTCACACTTTTCTCTGAATATTCTAAAGTGAATTTTACTAATACTCAATTCCTTTGAATGTGGTAACATATCTTTCACACAAACATCACAATCTCCAAAACGTCCAAATGAAAATTCATCGTTTATTAATTCTGAAAGATAAAAATAAATCAGTGTTGCAAATTGAATAATCTCACTAGACATAACAGTGATAAACAAGGATATTGAAGAGACATGTTTCTCTTTTAAAAATTGTTTCTGGCAACTAGATTTCTATATTTCAGTACACTTCTAATTTATGTATTCCTTACAATATAAACATGTAGGCAAATTGGAGTAATTTAAATAATTATAATACAGTCGATACAAAGAATAGAGTAGAGGAATATTATCTCACCGATTTTCAAATCAAACAGATATTTACATAAATATTTTGTATTTTATTGTATAAGATTTCATTTATATTTATTTATACCAAATTTTTTATTTCAGTGCTGTACATGCTACTCTACTGCTACTCAAGATTCTCGGCACTTGACCTCGAATGCATGTGACACATTAATTACTTAGGAAGCAAATAGTACCCAATATTTACAGTATAAATACCAAATGTGGAATCTGAAGGCCTCAAATCAAGCTTTTCATTAAGCTGAATCTAGCAGCTAAACCGTAGCAATGGAACCATTGAAAACCAAATGCGACAATAGGTACCGTTAAAACTAAGGCAGATACTCCTTTATTTTGCTGAATTAGAATAGTACCTAGTCCAGTTTAGGTTGCCTAGAATAGAATTTGTTACTTGACGGTATCACTGCTGCAATTTAGCTTCTTATTTCAGTTTCATAGGCTTCTTGGGTTCAATGTCATTTTTGCACTTCAGATACATTATTGCACAAGTACTCAGGAACATTTTATGCGACTAAGCTAGACAGTAGATTCATCAGGTGCAGAAAGATAGAAAAGTAATAAACAAATCAAGTAATGAGAAAAAAGTATTAAAGTAATTGAGAGCTTAGTTTGATTAGTAAATTTTCAAAAGTTATTATATTGATTGCCTTAAGTACACGCTACCTCCACTTACCAAAGAGCGGAAGCTTGTCCAGTGGCCACAATCGGCCCCAGATATGCTCAGAGTTGACCTCGACAGTTGTATCTTCAGATTGGGTACAGCACTGAGAGTCGAAGTTCTGGGTGTCCGGCAAGCTTTGCGATAATGTTGGCTCCTCCATACTCACAATTTTTGTTTTTTGGTCGTCTACTCTATTGCCGCTACCGCTATTGCTTGTGTTGTTGCCAGCAGTGCTTGACTTAATACCATGGTTCATGCTGAATGAATCGCTGCTGGGCACCTCGATTGATCTCCAGCTCCAAGAAGACACACTAACAGCACGGCTTGTTTGCCCAAAAAAAAGGCTACTGTTACCCTGCTCGGGCTGAGCTTGGCCCATAATCACATGCAGGCAATCAGCCACGTCAATTTACCTCGTTACACTTCCAAAATTACGACGCAACTTTTACAATGATATTTTACAATGATAACCACTAAGTCAGTGATCAGTTCCTGTTTATGCTTGTTACGAACGGCTCGATCGGCTCATCGGAGTTATCGGCTATCAACGCCAAGAATGCTAAAGAATGCAAGTAAGTATGCAAGCACGTGCAAAAGTGTGTGACTACGTGACTAGCCAAGTAAGCCAAGAGCTCGGGTACATATAAAGCAAAAAATTAATACCTGCCGCCAATCTCACGAAAGTTGGTAATAGATAGTTTGTGGGGATCCAAAGTGTTTTTGTAGTATACTTAAGTTTGCGATGACAAGTAACATCGATATAAAAAAGGGGAAGTGACGTCACCTGAAAAAGAAAGACGGAATTCCATGTGTGATTACTTCCGTAATACCTTCAGAAAAGCCATGTGGCAATACATATGGTTTTATGTATGGCATTACATAAGGGGATTCAGCACACAGCACATGGGACCTACTAAGGGTGCGTCTACTTTCTCGTAAGTGCATTGTTTCTTTAGTTTATAGCTCCGCCTGACCATACACTTTTATCCAACCTCTCACCAACCTAACAAAAATTTTTAAACTACTTCCTATTTCCTCTTATCCAACCCCTTCTTTCCAATCCCTCTCCAAATTCCATAACCGTCACCCACCCCACGGCCTCGACCATCGCCGCGGCCGCCACCATAACTGGCGAACTGCCGTCGGCTAATGCTAACAAGACCGATTCTCCTCTCCTAGTTATGGTCAAATCTAAATCTAAAAAGCGTAAAAATAAGCCCTCAACAAACTCCTCAGCCCCTTCCAAAAAACTGCAAGTACGCTCCGAACCCTCACATTCAGACAACCAAAACGACATGGAGCGACATGGAGACAGAAGACGCTTACATAGATGGATACGACTCTGAATCCTCCTCCCACGCCTCCTTGACCCTTAAAAACAAGCATGCTCCTTCCCCCGATACAAAAAACAAAATTCTGCTCAAATCTCTCTACGAAGAATCCTTTGGCACTTTTCCCGCCAAAACCAACCCAGCTTTAACCTCCAAACTGACCCTCATAAGCCCCAATCCACTCTCAACGCCCAACAAAATCTCCCAGCAGCCACCCCTTCATCCCTTGATTTTAATAAAGCTGCACAACTCTCGTCAGAAAACAGAACCCCTCCTTCCCCCAATCATATGCCTCCTCATATTCCTCCGGCCAGCAACTTATCTATCACAACCAACACTCCTCTCCCCTCGATCAAAGACAATCTAACGGCAAACACCATTAGCAAAAGCTCCCAATCACTAAACCTGCAATACATAGACCAGTCGAAAATCTGTTCAACCTAAAAGTTGATATCCAAAGGGTCATTTTTGATATTATATGCAATCGAACTCGTAGATTACGGGAAAAATAGTAAAAAACGTAGATTCTTAGTCAAACTATGTAAAATAGCGGCTAAAAGTTTATTTTGCAAATTTCGCGTAAATGGTAAGAGATAGGATGTAAATAAGAATATCAGCGTGTAGAGCGGAAAATTCTCTATCGATTTGGTCTTTCATTTTTTTTTTGACCAGCGCAAAATTTCGAGTTAAAAAATTCTGAAAGTATTTTGGCACGTACCTATGAGAGTGAGTGAGACAGAGTGAGAGATCACACTAGCAGACGATTGCAGGCACGAGGAGAGAGGAGAGAGCCGGTGCTATATATATGTAGCTCTAGTAGCTGCGACGCACTCGATCGCCTTCCGGCTGAAATATCCACTTCAGCTTTTGGCCCGAAAATTTTTCTAAGTCCTAATAACATTAATACGGGGAAAAAAAATTTGTTCTCCAGACATGATGTTTTTTATACATTATCTACGATTTCCTAGCGAATAAACATAGTCTCCAGTAACATTTTTTTCCAAATTAAAATCTTATTTTTCTTATTTTATTGGTTTTAAAATTTTATTTCGTTGTAGAAAATATGTTATGTATTGCATAGCTGTGCGGAGGGGCAAGAGAGGGGCGAACAGTTGAACACACAATGGATCGGCTTTTTATATTTGAATTGCGACACAATTTCAAAGTCCCAAAAAAAAACTGATAATGGTTAAATAAAAAAGTCTCTGAGAAATGATTTTTGAATGACATTTTCCAATGAAAAGAAATAGAGAACAACTTATTGTGAAGCATACGATCAAAAATAAATATTAAATTGATAGTAAACAAAATTTATTTATTCGCAAAAATCATAAATGCTACTATCTGGAGTATACATATTGAGGGAGGACTGAGTATGGTACCCCACATGACCTTCTTCCGTCGTTTCCTCTTGCATGTCGACAACGTCATTAATCACATCATCGAAAGAGTCTTCATCAATTACTGGTCTCGTGGTGGAACCATTTTCACAATTGTCTCCGTTGCAATTTTTACACATACGTGTACACATCAAACCTGCTTTTTTGCACGTGCATTGTTTTGTTTGACAATTTTTACGACAGGAGCAGAAAATCTGTGAGGAAGAAAATTTAATATTTAACTAACTAACGTGACCAAGAATTTGCCTTTATTTTGACTAAACACTAATGATATATCATTGCATACCTGTCGCAAAACGTCATTAGGAGCTGGCGTTTGTGTGATTATTATCGGAAATAAAATGGTCTTTGTCTTTCTCCACCCCCAATGTGTGGGCTC